TCATGTCAAGATTAAGAACATCCTCTTCCACTGAGGCCAGACAAGGCAGTCCAGCTAGGAGAGAGTGGGCGTTGAGGAGGGAGTTCTTCTGTTTCAATGAGTTTGTAGGCATTCTGTTGTTTCTGTTGTTGAGTTCCAGCTTTAATCCATGGTGATGTGATAATAGGCAGAGGGTTATTTCAATCTTCTTATATCAGCTTGTTTTGTGACCAAGTCAACAATCTTTCCATGCCTTCTCCAACTAGGTTCCAGGATGTCTGAGGGGATGGACCTTGTGGAGACCTCTAACTTATGTTCTCTCATTATAATGTCTGTCTGTGAGTCTTTGCACCCATTTCTATCTACTGCTGAAGGAAGCTTCTCTGATGATTCCTGGGCAAGTCACTGATATGAGAACAGTAGATTGTCATTTTTTTTTCAGTTGTTGTTGGTTCTACCCTGGGTTTCTTGGCTGACTAGTCGAAGTTGCTGGCGGTCCAGGCTGTGTCAGCACGGCCCCCTCTGCTGGCTCTCATGTTAGATCAGAGGTGGCTGGCCACCCTCACAAGTTCAGCGCCACCACCATTGCCCAGGCACATCTTGCTTCCAGACTGCTGGGTGGCATTTTTATAGCCTTCTACATGTAAGCCTTAGTGTTAGGTAGGAAGTAAATGATACAACTTTGAAAAGAGAATAAAAAGTAGAGCTAAACAAAGTATATATCTATATACTAATATTTTGGAGTTAGTTGAATTGACACATTGATATGAAATGGATAAAATACTAACCAACAGTTTTTAAAGGATAAAAAAGAAAACAATACTTTAATAAGACCATTGGCTCAATCTAAATAGACATGTATCTATCAAAAATCTATAGCATCTCAATGTTGTAAAGTGATACTGATGAATTATTATAGCAACTGTAACCCTCAATTTCTCACAAAGAAATTGTGATCACTCCTTGATCACTTCTCTCTGGTGGGCTACCCAGTCAGCCCTCAAACAGAGAGAATTCAAACAGTCCTGAAGGGGCCTGATAGGCTAGGGTCAGACAGTAGGTGAGAAGGGCTTTCCCTATCAGTGGACTGGGGAAGAGGGAGAGGGAAGGAAGAGGGAGAGTGGGTAGGACCAGGAGGAGATAAGGGAGGGAGCTACAACTGGGATACAAAATGAATAAATTGTTGATAACAATAATAATAAGAATTTACCACTGGAAATAATGATTCAAAATGGCCTAGATAGATGGTTTAGTGGTCAAAAGTATTGCCTGGTTTTCCAGAGGACTTGAGTTCATGTCTCTGCAACCACATGGTAGTTCACAACCATCTACACCGTGATCTGATGACCTTTTCTGGCCTGCCAACATACGTGCAGATAGAGTATTTATATACATAAAAAATTATTCAAAGTAAGGTTAGACACCAAAATATCACCTGTGAGAACATCATCACCTTATGAAAGCTCATGGCAGAGTAGCAGCAGACAGTAGTGACAAAGGATCCCACGACTGAGTGTGTAACGTATTATGAAGACTCTGAGATACTCAGAAAAGTTAGAATGGTTTCAGTTCCAAGTCATTTGATGATGAAAAACAATCATCACCTCATGTATGGCACGCTGAAGCCACTCTCTCATGGGGATATTTTGGTAGCCTCCCTCTGGTACCTGCCATCTGTTTCTCTATGTATTGTACTAAATAACTCTCAAACCAAGCAGCTTTCCCTAGTAGAGTCTTTTAGCATCTCAGGCTTCTACATCTTCTCCACCCATGCCCGGGTGGGTACACTGGAAAGAGAAGGAAGAGAGGTGTGAACTCCTTTATGAATCTAAGATTTTATGGTGAAGTAATCCCATGGTGTGTTCATCAACACATCAGAAACAAGACCTTTCATTCAGGAGTTTGTTTTGTTCCATTTTTAGAATGAAATTCAGGGCCCTAAGTGAACGAAAGGAAAGAGAGCTTGCCAAAGGTGGAAACAGGGACACCTAATAGAAGAACAGAAAAAAAAATGCAGGAGTTAAGGGTTCAAATTATGAGGAGTCATAGAAAAGAAATGGCAGAATATGTGCTCAGCTGGGAACTTGAAGGAAGAAGGGAGGAGTAGATGTTACAAAAGGATTTGCGGAAGGCTGGAGGCAAGTCATCACAGCTGAAAAGGTCAAGGAGAGCAGTGGCTTTTGAATCTTCAGGTAGAAACTGAACAATGTTTTCTGTAGTATGGGAACTCTGTCATAAAAAAAATGAACATCAGGTCACATGTAACTGGAGGTTGGAAACTGAGTAAGTTGACAAGTTCTAAAATGCTACCTTTCAGATGACAGTCACTTTTCCATTAATTTAGTTTCTGGATCTTATTCTGCAGGTTTAAAGGCTTCCCCGCTACCCCTGCCTACAAACATGACTCCATTTTACACACTAGAACTTAAAGTGGATTTTGTGTTACTGGTGAATTTTATGTCTCTGCTGGATGTTAATATACGTATGATTCAGTAGGGGTGTATAAACTTTATTTTTTATTTATTTACGCAATGTTAATTATGCCACTAGTATTCATAAAGAAACGTGGATGTCTTCACCCAGCTAAAGAGAGTTTATAATCCCAACATTAATGGCACTTAATGTCAACTGGGTAAGAAAAATCTATCTAGGTAACACAAAGAAGACAACATTAAATCAAACGTCCTAAATGTTAATTATAAGAGCAACACTTAACATTTGGCAGGAATTTATTGACTAGAGTAATTCTCATGATCCAAATGAGCCAGGGATCTATTAATAAAATGCTGCATAGAAACGAAACATTAATCAGTTGATTTACTGTCAGAAGAGTTAAAGTACAGTTTTTCTGTGAGCATTTGATCAAAAGGTGACAAAAAATCTAATGTAAGAGTGATTAAGCTGTATCTTGTGGGTTAAACCATCCAATGTGATTGGCCTGCAAAATAACTAAAATCAAGTCAAATCAGTTGAACTGAAACACCTCTTCATGGAAAAGGCCAGTGATATGCTACAAACAATAGCAGAAACGAAATAGGATGTGATATAGCCTAAGCATAGAGCGAGTTTTACAGTAACCCTTGCGAGAGTGTGGATGGTGCTCTTAATATCGGGTTGTGTTGATATCTATGCAGCGCTAAGCACAGAAAAGGAAGCAAATGCAGAGAGTAAATTCCATATGTTCAGGAAGAAAGTTACAGCAGAGGAAGAGACTGTTAAACATTTATACAGGAGCCTGCAGTTAGTGGTTGCATGCATTTGTGTGGGTTTATCTTGGAAGCGTTACGTTGCTTATAAGAAAGTTCTTTGTTTTGTGTGGGGAGACTCAGTATGGCGAATGGCTGAGCATGAGTGGTTGTCATGTAACTGGATGCTCCAGTCCACTAGGTACTGGGCCTTTGAAAACATTTAAGTTAATCTGGCATTCTCCATAAATCAACAGGAAACTGCATTAAGATAACCTGTTTTTAGAGCCTTAAGTCCTCAGCCTTCTTCTTGGGGGCTATACATGTTCCTTCTAACTCGGTCATTAAAGCAGACAGGCTTTGTAAAACTCATTCCCAGCCATTTTATGAGATAAAATGTGTAAACGTGCCATAGCCATCCGACACGGGACACTGTAACACATTTCTGCAGAGTAGTGGGCACAAATAATGATTCACTGAAGAACCTCACTTCAGAAACATAGTCACACTTTAAAAATAACATCTGTGATATTTTCACATGTGTGTGTTAAAATGTATACAGAATTCTGATCTTGCATAGGGAAAATGAAGCTTCTGGCCCCAATTTTTGTGTGTGTATTTGTTTTCTTCCCCCCTCTGTCTCTCTGTCTCTGTCTGACATTCTCTCTCTCTCTCTCTCTCTCTCTGTGTGTGTGTGTGTGTGTGTGTGTGAGTGTGTATAGTGCGTGTGTGTGTGTGTGTATAGTGCATGTGTGTATGGATTCTAAGCTTTTCTTTAAGATAGTTTACTTGAATTTTTCACTTTCCTTACATTTTATCTTCATATTAATTATAGTCACTCTGTTTTTCCTGTATGAAAGGTGGAGATTTTCAACACATAAATATAAATGTATTCACCCAATAAAAGATAATATTTGTTTTTACTTCTTTAAAAATAAAGATGTAAAATAACACCTTTCCCTTCCATGATGCTAATTTGAAGTATTTACTGAAATATTGGTATTTATTTTTCACTAATGCATTACTTGTATTTTGGCAAAGAGATGTTTGCATTATTGTAAGAAACTATTTGTTGATGTCCAATCCTGTTTTACCACTGGCTGAGAAAACCAACAATGGCTGTTTTGGTTATTTCATCACTTTATTATATTTTGATCAACATTCTCTTTTGAAAGAGTAAGTCTATCATTCTAAAGAAAATATCAAACGACAGAAGTTCATTGGAGGAACTAGAGTACAAATGAAGTTAGCCAGATAACTTAGGTATTATAGCAGTTACTAACATAACCATGAATTTTATTTCTGCAGAGGAAGTGTCAGGAAAAATGTTCATGTTCCTGGAGAACTTGAATGTTGTCAGGTCTGACGCTGATATGCGGGAAAGTACCAGGACTGCTTTAAGAGTTCTGACAAGTTTAGTGCAAACGAAACAGAGAGAAATATACTTTAATAACATCAAGAAATTGACACTTTGAGAACACTTTGTTTTCACCATTAAGGCACTAAAATTATATCCTCAATTTTCATCACTGAGTGTTATTAGGTTGAGTGTGCTAAGTAAGCAAAAAATTCTACCATTTTCTACATTTAATAGCAATTATTCATTGTCCAAGCTGCAGATAGCTATTCAGAGAGGTTTAGAAACCTGATTTATTCTTATAATCATTTCAGAGTTAATGCTGACCCAGAGGAATATAATGAGTTATCTCTTTCATTTTAAAATCTATCATTTTTTTATCTTACAATAGAAACCTTTCATTTTAAAATCTATCATTTTTTTTTATCTTACAATAGAAACCTTAGGAGGCTGACGTCAGCTGAGTAAGAGGTATCTTCATGGAGATTTCTAACAGTAGCTGGTTCCAGCCACCTAGTCTTCTTCTAACAGGCATCCCTGGGCTGGAAGACGTGCAGATATGGCTCTCTATCCCACTATGCGTCATGTACTTAATTGCCCTCCTCGGAAACTGCACCATCCTCTTTGTTATCAAAACCACCTCCATCCTTCACGAGCCTCAATACACCTTCCTGTCTATGCTGGCAGCTACAGATGTGGGTCTGTCTGTATCAACTCTGCCTACAGTACTGAATGTCTTCCTCCTGAACCACAGAGCAATAGAGTTCCACGCTTGCTTGACACAGATGTTCTTCATCCATACCTTCTCCTCCATGGAGTCAGCCATCCTACTGGCCATGGCTTTTGACCGGTTTGTTGCTATTCGCAGTCCATTACACTATACTGTAGTTTTAACCACACCTCGGATTATCAGGATGGGTCTTGCTGCAGTTGTTAGGGGTGTCTTATTAATGATGCCCTTGCCAATCCTGCTCAAGAGGTTGGCCTTCTGTAAGGGGGTCGTGCTATCCCATTGCTACTGCTACCATCCTGATGTTATGAAGCTGGCCTGTGGTCCCGTCAGAGTAAATATCCTCTATGGATTGTCTCTAGTTCTCTGTTCATTTGGAGTTGACTCTGTATTTATTGTCATCTCATACGTCTTGATTTTGAAAACAGTGCTGGGTATTGCCTCAGGAGAGGGTCAACTCAAGGCACTCAACACCTGTGTCTCCCACATATTCACTGTCCTGATATTTTATGTGCCACTCATTGTCTTGGCCATAATTCACAGGTTTGGCACGTTTGCGTCTCCTCTTCTCCACGTCACCATGGCCAATCTTTTTCTCTTCTTGACTCCTGTCCTGAACCCTTTGGTTTACAGCCTAAAAACCAAACAGATAAGGTCCGCAGTGGGCAAAGTATTCAAAGAGAGGGGAAGCTCTCTCAGATAGTCACGGATGGCCTTAACGAAAGAGATGTCCTCCTCTGCCCTGTCATCTACTTCCTTCGCAGAAACATGCTTTTATTTCAAGATACAATTTGTTAGAATTGAGGTGTTATTGTGTTTCAAGAAGAGGGTAATGCTTTGATTATCACTGAAAAAGAAATACTGATTTACTATATTGTGAAATGAGAAAATAATGAGATTCAGTGTGGGCTATGTACCTACTTTGTTTACTTACTTTTAAAGAAATACATGAGCTATGCAAAATTTGAAGGGATGTGGAAACCAAGTGGATAGTGGATGTTACACGTTTTTTTGTTGTTCTTTTGTTTTGTTTGGAAAGGAAAAGCAAGCTCAGCTAACATAAAGGGAAATGTCATTTTTATTTTTAATTAATTAATTAATTTATAAATAATGTAAAATTGCAAATAAAATTGTTCTTTTAAATTTAAAATTATCCACACAAAGAATCAAAGACAGCAGCATGTTCTGGGATGTGGAAAAAGAATGTTATACTTGGAGGAAGTAGAGCATAATAATAGAAGTTTGTCTGGAGAAAGCATGACAGAGATCAATAGAAGAGTAGACACATGAACATCCATCAGCTTTTACATTTATTTATTTAATTAATAAATACAATTAATTTATATACTGATTCTACTAAAGTTAATATTCCAGGCCATTGAAATATTTTGCTTGGGGTGTGCTAGGCTCTCACTCTGATAGCACCCTCATAATACAGTTATCCTGATGATTTATTATGGAAATTATTCTATATACATATTTTGAAATTATTCAGTATTTGGCTATTGTTAGAGTTTTATATTTGAAGTCTAGTATAAAGGGCATTCATTTTCTCATCGTCGTCTGTTATATCTTTTAATATCATCCTCCCCTTTTTTTCTCACGCCTCACAGACATGATAAGAAAATATAAGGAAAACCCAAACAAAATGCTCTCCCTAATACTTATAGAACCATTTAATCCAGCACAGAGAATCCTTATACCTGAGTAATTTTCCAGTGAACACCAGCTGAGTGTCCTTTGAGTCAGTTCAACTCTGATAGCATCTACATAAGACAGCATCAGGTGCAAACAATTGAGGGCTAAGTCTTGTCTGACTACTACACCTTAAGGATCACCAGCCCAACAATGAGCTGCTTCTTGCTGACATTTTGAGTGAAGTGTTGGCAGTTACAGAAGTCTACAATTGGCTCAGTTTTTAAAACGTGATCAAATGCTGTATTAAGGAAAGAAAAAACAATGTACTGTCAGTCATAAACAGAAGCAGGCAAATATGCCTTAGATATGTACCTCGAAGAACCTAAGGTCACTTGGTATGAGTAGAAAGTGAAGATAGGCAGGCTGGATCATAAAGAGTTTCACGTACAGATCTCGTTAAAATTGTGAAAACAGACACGTGTTGCTAAATTGAGAATAAAGATTTAAGAATTTTTATATAATGACGGTGTTCTAGCAGGCCTCAGCATGGCAAACAAAAACACGGCATACAGATCTTTGCCTTTTTACCTCTTTTTCTCTCCCTTCCTTGAAACTGTTACTTTCCTAAAGCTAGCCCCAAGGTTTATTCTCTTTTTTACCACTGAGACACAACACCAAGGTCCAACAATCAAAATTTATTATTTGGTTAGTGTGTCCAATGAGGACTGACCAACTCACCCTAGCACAGACTTCCTCTCTTCCCCTTAAAAGCAAACTCCTACAGAAACATCCTCTCATGCTGCTCCTGCCTCTCTTGCCCTTGTTTGCTTCCCGCTTGCCTTTGCAGCCCCTACCCAAACCCTTGTTTGCCATCTATGGTAATAAACCTCCTTTGTACTAAGAACATGGTGTCTGGGTATGTCCTGTGCCAATGTCATAGGGCAGACCTCCCGTTCATATAACACAGAAAATGTCAGTTTAAACTCTAGGTGAGGTTAGAAATACGGAATTCAGTTCCACATTGCACAAAGAAAGGCATCTGGAATGCTTAAAGTGGTGGAGTTAATACTCAGATGTGGAAAGTGAAAGCATTTAAGGTAACTTTAGGAAATACAAGTGAATGGTCTTAATGTAGAAGAAACTTAAAAGATATGTGGTGATAATAGCATTAATTTTCACTCTGAAAACATAGAAACTATAGTCAGCACTTTATGAATAAAGGGAATTTAAGAGGAAAAAAGTGTATTTGAAGAAGATCTTGAATTTAACCTTGGTTTTCATGGATTTGGAGACTATTACTATATGCATCTTTATAACTGAAGATCATAAACCAGCTTCTCAAAATGACATCCAAGTGTAACCAATCAAAGATACAAAGCTAGCTAACAATGTTTTGGTCTACCGGAAATCAGAATTTTTTTTTTTTAAAGTGCGGATACAGATGTGAGAGTATTTTGGAAAAAAATATAAAAATTAACTTACTAATTGACTTCCATGACCCACACATTCCTTAACAGGGACAGAATGCATCTAGATGATGCATGTGGATTTTGTTCTCATGGAGATAGTGCAAGAAAGAGGGAAGATATTTTAGTAAACAAAATAAAGTAGAACCCAGAAGAAAGAAAAGAAAGCAGAAAGTGAAGGAAGAGGATTGGGGATTTGTTGAAATGTCTGAATCTTTTACAGAATTATTTAATTGTATCCCTCATTTGGAAGTATACAAATATAGTGAATTTATCCATAAATTTACATGAATTGTCTAGCAAAAAAAGTGGTTTTTTTTTTTTTTTTTTTTTTACTGTTTAGTTTGTAAAGTCTATCATCATACACTAGGAAATATAGGAGAAAATAAAATTTGTGATTACATAAGTGCAATGTTTTTATTCATAAAATCTATAATTACATTTTATCTTATTTTCATATCTATATACACATGCCAGGTGTGAAAACGGTATAAAATAAACAATCATGTTAACTGTGAAATTGAGGGTTGTACTTTCCTTCACTGAGACTGTCATTAACTTTCTGAATTTTTCATCTTATCTGGATCTTCAAAGATTTTCTCAGGGCAGAACGAATCTGCTTGGTCTTCAGGCTATACACAATTGGGTTGAGCATTGGGGGCATAAAGAGATATATATTGCCCAGGACTGCATGTGCTATTGGAGAACTTCTCTGGCTGATTCGATGCATTATAGTTATTGCCAGCAAAGGGCCATAGTAAATAAAGACAATAAAGATATGAGATAAACAAGTGTTGAGTGCCTTCATCTGCCCCTCTCTGGAGGCAATCCCCAGGACTGCTTTAAATATCAGAGCATAAGAAATGGCTATGAGCAGAAAGTCCACCCCGAAGGAAAGTATAACCAAAACAAGTCCGTAGAAAATATTGATTTTAACTTGACCACAAGCCAGTTTCATGACATTTGGGTGGATGCAGTAGGCATAGGACAGCGTCTGCCCCTTGCAGAATGGTAGTCTCTTGAGCAGTATAGGTAAGGGCGCCATGAGCGCGACACCCCTTAGAAAGGCTGCCACTCCCATCTTGGTGACTCGTGAGTTGGTAAGTATCGTAGTGTATTGCAGGGGATGACTGATGGCCACAAAGCGGTCAAAAGCCATGGCTAACAGGATTCCTGAGCCCATGGAGGATGATGTATGGATGAAGAAGAGCTGAGTGAGGCAACTATCAAATGCGATTTCATAAAGATCAAAGATAAAGACTTTTAGCACAGAGAAAAGCGTGGAGACAGACAAGACAATGTCAGCTCCAGCCAGCATAGATAAAAAATGGTACTGGGGCTCCTGCAGACTGCGTTCAGTCCTCACTAAGTAAATGACTGTACAGTTCCCTGCCGTTGCAGTCACATACATCAGGCTCAGGAGTGGGCCTAGCCACAGGCGGGCACCCGCTAGCCCTCGGAGGCCAGTGAGGATGAAGACAGAGGGTTGAAAGGTGACATTGGATTCAGACATGGGCAACTGTGAGAATCACTGTGCAAAATAGTTTCTCTGGCACTGAACCCTAGAAGAAAGAAAAAGTTAAACGTCAGGTTCAGGAAGGTCTAATGAGTGTGCTAGATGTCACCTGTGAAGGAGAGTTATAAAGATGAGGGTCTTATTGGGAGTAAAATGACTTTAACAGTTATAGCAGGGAGCAAAATGTTTTCCTGAAGATTGCCTTAAGGACAGACGATCTTTTTCATTACTAGCGTATGTTGAGATGAACCAGCTAAGATGGCGGTGAAAATAAACAGTGTAATTGTGTCCAACCTACTCCCCATGCAGCTAGAACGAAAGCTATGTGACAGCGGACACAGTGTCAGTACAAAACAAAGTATCGGACAGCTTCAAGGGTTCGCAGATAAAACAAAGTCACAAAAACACGGGGTTGGAGTGATGGCTCAGTGGGTAAGAGTACCTGCTGTGCTAACACAGGGACTGATATCAAATCCACAGAACCCTGAGAAAGGCAGAGCAATGTGGCAGGTGTTTGTAACCCCGTCACCGTGGCACCATCAACAGGACCTACCAGCTATCCACCAAACTTCAGGATCTGTGAGAGACCCCGTCCCAAGGGACCACGGTGGAGAGTAATACAGCAGGACACATAATGTCACACTCAAGGTCCTGTGTGTGTGTACTTGTACACAGTGGCATACATATATGTTAATGGACACACACACACACTTATAAAAGCAGAAAAGTTACCCTGGGTAGCCAAATATCGAATGTCTCTATCTTCTCACTGTAGAAGATGAAATCTGACGCGAAACAAGCATGAATTCTTTCTCTCCCTCCTCCCCACAAAAATCATTTGTGTATTTAGAAATATTTCTGTTCCAAGTGCCTTTGTTAGTATTCTTTAAATTTTATGTAACTATGATTAAATGTATGAGTATATTCATCCAAGACATTTGATATATTTATGGTATATAAAATAATTTTTATATTTTTATTTAAAATTTTTATATATAAAGTAAATACATAATTATTTAACGTGTTCCATTTTATCTTCTTTGTTATGTTTTACCTTCTATAACGGAAATAACTTTAAAATCT